TACCTATTCAAGTACCATGTATACCTATTCAAGTACTTGTATTCTGCATCTACCATGTATACCTATTCAAGTACTTGTATTCTGCATCTACCATGTATTCCTATTCAAGTACCATGTATACATATTCAAGTACTTGTATAGTACTTATATTCTGCATCTACCATGTATACCTATTCAAGTACTTGTATTCTGCATCTACCATGTATACCTATTCAAGTACTTGTTTTCTGCATCTACCATGTATACCTATTCAAGTACCATGTATACCTATTCAAGTACTTGTATTCTGCATCTACCATGTATACATATTCAAGTACTTGTATAGTACTTATATTCTGCATCTACCATGTATACCTATTCAAGTACTTGTATTCTGCATCTACCATGTATACCTATTCAAGTACTTGTATTCTGCATCTACCTCGTATTCCTATTCAAGTACTTGTATTCTGCATCTACCATGCATACCTATTCAAGTACTTGTATTCTGCACCTATCATATGTACACACTCATAGAGACGCGTTGACCCATGAAATCGAGACGGTGGCGCTGCTTCAGCTGGACAGGTTTAACGTCGTGCACCACCCACTGCGCCAATACAACACATTGGGCGACGACTGGGTCACCGCACTACACGGGGTAGGGCCGTCAGTCGACAACAGCGTACGAGAGAGTGTCAGCACAATCACGTGCGCAGACATCGTCATCATTCCTCTGTGCCACAGCGAAGATGTCCACAGCGACTACATGAAGATGCTCAACAAGGAAGCCGACGCACCTCACACCAAGCAACGCAAGGACCTGCCACTGCTCACGCTGTTCTTTGCGTCGTATACAGACGCCACTACTGGTGTGTGTGTGTATAAGTAGATATGTGTCAGTGGTATATTTATATATATATATATATATATATATATATATATATATAATACACACACACACACACACACACACACACATATATATATATATATATATATATATATATATATATATATATATATATATAT